GTTGATGATGAGGGTGTCGATCTTCTTGAGCGGTCATCAATCTATAGCCATCTCTTCAAATTTTTCATCTCACCAAAAACATTCTTTGCTAGTATAAGTGGCGTCTGCATCAGTGGTAGAGGTATCGAAAATGAAATTAGTGGAATGACTCGAATGATCAAGGAAAAGGTTGTCTTTTCTGCGTAAGCTTTAATTCGAAAACTAGCATGAATGAGTCACTCCGGTATGCGCGAGCAATAGGAAGGATGATAATTTGTGTTGAGCATGTTTACGATCATGTTGATGACGTTGATTTCCCGATGTTGGTTCGTATGAAATCGAGATCGCTTCTTTGATTATGAGTAATTTGCTCGGTTGAAGTAATGTTCGTCCCGTCGGTAAGGAGACATTGTGATTTTGGAGTAGTTCGGCCTGTCGTAATAATTTCTGAATGTTTTGATGGTGCCGCAATTTGATGTATTTTTTCCGTAGGTTTCGTCTCGGGTGCCATCATTTTCGTTCAAGACATCGTGGAAGTGAAGCGGTTCAAAATTGAGGTCGTACGTAAAAATCGGGATCCGGTGCGTTTTCTCTCTTGTACAAAGCAAACTTGCCATCAAACCTTGTATATTGGAAGTCCTCGTGATGGACTCGTCAGGGAAATCGATGTTCGGAACTATCGGTTCTCCGGAGAAGAGGTCAGTCGTTAGATGACGCGTCCCGCGGTTAAGTTTTAATTATTAATTTTATTTTGATTTTATAAATTTTTTAACTGAAATTAAAGCAATAGTGTGTGTGTATGTGTTGTGTGTGTGAGTGAGTGAAAACTGTAAATATATCAGAATTGAATTTTGTCTTTTTGTTTCTTAATGAGCTACAATTTTCTTTAACACATGTGGCATATCACCAATTGATTCCCAGCTTTTGTCACGTCTTCTCGTCTACACACATATTTACGTTTGCTTTTACTCACAATAATAAACTGGTTCGACCCCTTCAGCTATAAAGTCTTCGTCCAATCCATAGAATGTCTAGCCCACATTAGCTCTAACAACAAATCCACCTTTTACTGGTTGATATCGTCAGATATTATCAATGTTTCCACGAGAAATGTAAAGTAGACCGCCGGGTACCTTTGCAAATCGATTTTTTTATAATAAACCTATCAGCCTTCCAGACCCTCCTGCTAATTCCACGCAATTTCAACACTTAAAAAGTATTTTCCGTTGTGGTATCCAAAA